ATATATATATATATATGTATATGAAACTTGAAGATGTGTATACGAAGAAAGGTGTTAATTTTGTTGGATAGGATGATATGAAGCGCCAAGTTTATGTTTGAATGGGTTAAGTGGCAGTTACTGTGTAAAATTATTTATGATTTCCTACAAAAAGAAAATGATGTTTAAGATTATGGTCAGCAATGTCTGCTGTTTTTGTCTTTTTGACTTTTGTTATCATTTCTTTTCACTCTGGAATGCTTGCCGGTTAAGGCCGCAAACATATATAAGCACGCCCCGAAGAGTAGTATCAATGACCAATGTTAAATTACTAATGATTTTATTTTTCTAAGGACTATTTGGGATTGTCAATGATTTAAAATCCAAAATAATTATGGAGTTTAATATATGGAGAACACACTATTCTCATGAATGACGTGAATTTCTTTTCCCTCCTAATTCGAAGAAGAAGAAGAAGAAGAAGAAGAAAGCGTGTTTAAAAGAGGGGTTTTAAAATATAGTAGTTTCTTTGGAATATTTTTATTAGTTGTCGGTTTTTTAAAATTTTTTTATACATGAGTTATCAGTTTTGCCCTTCGGTTGATTTTTTTTAATGGTACCTTCGGTTGATTTTCAGAGTGAGTTTTTTTTTTTTTTTTTTTTGCTGATTATATCAACTAATTTCTTTTTTTCATTTGGGTTTCTGTTTCATTGTTTTATAATCAAATTGTATCGTAATTGACTAAAAACATTAATTAAAAATTTTAAAAAAATAGAGAATTTACTTTGAAAAAAACATGAATCTGAACCTTTACCTCTTATTATTAAAAAATATTATTTTATTAGTGTAATTATTTAATTAAAAAAATTATAAATAAATAATAAATACTAAAATCCACCAATGCATTACTCTTAAATTTTTAAATTCGACACATTCTCTACTCCATTACACCTTTCGTTATACATATTTATTTTAATATAAACAAAACAAAGAAATCGTATTGAAAATAATAAAATCCACCAATGTTTACTTACGTGTAATCGGAATGAGCATAAATCGGAGTGAGCAGGATTCGGAGTGGGTAGGATTCGGAGTGAGGAATCAAAGTCAGAATAAGTTGTTTACTTAGTGATAGGATTTGGAATCGGAATCATTCCAAATCTCATTCATACGTTTACTTACACCCAGAATCGGAATAAAAAAGTGTAAAAGTATTAATATACCCTTTAAATTAATTTGATATTTTCAATTTAAAAAATATATTGTGTACTTATTATATTAAAATTAATGATAATTAAAATATTTAGTGTAATAATTGGGTACTAAAATAATAAATATAAATTGTACAACTATTTAAAATATAAAAATAAATTTTAAAAAAATTTAAA